TGCCTTGACAATCAAGTAGCTTGCTAGGCATTTTTGGAGGACGGCTAAGAGTAAACTACATTACTCCAGAATCACATTCAGCCCAGACTATTAAGGGCATCAGGTTTCCTTCCACGAAGGACATTTGTGAACCAAGTAGCTTTCTAAGACAAACCCATAGTGTACTTGCAGACCATCAATGACATTGGCTTTCCTTTAAAATTCCAGGTTGAATGAACTGAATTAACATTTTTGAATTGCTGTCAGATTAGAACTCATGTCTGAAGATCATTAGTCCAGACTCCTGGATAAATAATCCTGTAACAAACACTATGTTGTAGTTTTTGAAATACTCCTTCCAATCTCATCGAAAGAATGCCCACTTAGACAAGGGAGTAGGGGAAATAGATACCTAGGAAACTATCCCACAGCACCTCAAAATGGCAAGTAAAACTCAGTGAAAATTAGGACACCAGCAAAAGTTTCAATAACTTCAAGTTTGCGGAAGATAGCATTAAGGTGGCTTGATAGGAAAATACTGGATTTCATGTTTAGACGTAACAATGTCACATGATCTCAATAGATAAGCTCAGGCCAGAATAGAAACAGTTTTATTTAGAGAAGAAAATAGATTGTCTTAGTGATGGTACAGACATGTAGTAGGCAGCTCAGATGGATTTAACACCATGGTTGTGAACAGTCTGCTTCAAGTTCATACTTTTGCCAGAAAGAGGGATGAAGTCGATGGCTAGGGAACAGAGTTTATGAAAGGCACTAAAGAAATGGCTTGCCAATATTCAATGAGGAAACTTCCAACATACAGTGCATGAATTCAGACTAACCTGAGAGTTTATTGACATTGAAGAGATGTAGCAGGGTTGGATACTGTCAGCATACACATGGTAACTCATGCGTTTTCACGTTTGTGGAGGATACCTTGTAGATGGCAACATTAAGGTGGTAAATGGGAACATGGTCAATGACAGATTCTTTGGGAGAGGAAGAGTAGAGAACAAATAGTTAATGGAAACAGGAATAAAATTAATTGCAGGGAAATCTGGCTGATTTTGGACAGTTAACTGTGTCAAAACTGTTGCCAAGTCAAGGAGAACAAGGGATGATAATTTACCTCTGCCACAATCACATAGGATGCTATTCAAGAATGTGGTTGAGAAAAATCATTATTATGGCAGAAAGAGAGCTAAATTGGTAGGATTAAAATATGGTATGTTGAGCAAGAGAAAGACATATATTTGGGAGGCTTCAAAATTTCAAGAGAAGGCAGGGAGATGGAGATGGGCAGTTTTTTGAAAGGATTAATGACAGCAGATTTGAAAGAGGAACATTACTCATATCACCTAACAAAGCAGATAGACATTAAGCAACTAAAAAAGATTATTTGTATGACACCCATTTGAAACGTTCACATTAATTGAATTCCACTCGAGTATCATGATATCTATTAGGCAAATACAGCAGCTCTGTTGCATAAAGATTAAGGATACATTTAGGACAATTAATCTACGTGAGGTACCATTCACTGGGGATATATTTCACTAGTATACTGAGAGAACTATTCAAATAACATTGTAGATCTCTAGTTTAACTTTGAAATGTTCACCTTAGCTGGCTACTTACATAGGCAGCCAAGACCTCTGGTAACACTCAACCAAAATGGGGCACATCTGACAACGTAGGACTTCCAACCATTGCACTGAATGACAGTCTAGATTATAAACGGATTAGATCTGGACTGAAACTTTTACCCTTAACTAAAATTCCATATAGTCACGCATGAATCTCAGCAATCTCAAAAGGGACTACGAAGTACAACGAATTGAAGGGAAGTGTTAAGAACTGAAGCAAATTATCACTTTAGCAGCAAAGGAAATAGTTTCACAATTATAATAAAAATTGTTACTTCCAAAATGAATACCTGGAAGACAAATTATAGAAGAGTACGTTCTTGTCCGCTTGGACAAGCCACAACATTGTTACAAAACCAATTAAAAAGCAGAATTTTGCCAAGACATCCTTGACAATGTCTCTACACACCATAAATGTCGAAAGAGGGAGTAAACTACAGTAAGTTCAACTCGAAAGATTACTCTGAACACATTTCAGTGTCAACAGCAAACATGTGGTGGTGTGTAATTCACACTTCATGAAACATATTTTTATAAATCTATCCTCATTGGCTAGATGATTTATTAGAACCTGGAAATTTCTTCACAACAATTTCAAGATTCTTTCAGCAAAGGATATTGATCAAGAATAGGGCAATTAGATTAAGCAGCTTCAAGGAAGAATTAATAAATTTAACAAAGTCCCTCTGATAAACAGATTTTATCTTTAATTTCCACACAGGCATTTAAGTTAAGACGTTAAAAAAGTATCAAAAGTAGTCAAAGACAGATTTCAAGAAGGCTTTTGAAGGTAGGGAGTAGTGTCACTAGGCAGAATAATTTAAAAAGCACTGAAGCCCTGATTCAAGGGGTGGAGTGTTGAAGCTGAGTTAGGATTGAGGAAACTTGCAAAGGTAAACTTAAGCACAGACAAAGAGGGATTTGGAACGGAGCATAACAGTTTAGGATTGAACGTGCTGGAAAAAAAGGGTACCAATAACAGTCATGAAAGAAAGGCTTGCATTTATATAATGCTTTTCACAACTGCTGGAAACTTCAAAACTGCCTTGTAACTAATGAAATACTATAGAATGTTGTCACTGTTGTAGGTAAAGCAGTTAAACAATACACAGCAAACTCCCAAAAAGAGCAATTTGACAATAGTTAGATAATCTTTATGATATCAATTGATTTGCCAGGATTCTCAACAGTGCAACACTCTCAGGTTTCTGCTGTGACTACTTGGTTCAAATCCTGGTAACCTTGTGCCTGACAGACAATAGCATCACCAACTGAACCACAGCTGAAAATAGTTCAGAGGACCTTGAAATATAGGATTTGAACAGTCTTTTCAGGTTGATTTAAGAGCTTGAAAAGACAGTTAGGAAAAGCTGAGGAAGTCAAGCCTAGTTGTGCAATGAGTTGAAGGAAGTTTTAGTATAAGTAAAGAGAGAGATACTAGCAGGTAATATTTTAAAGGTGGAAATAAGTCTTAATGAAAAGAGAGGATCTGAGGTATGAAATACAAGTTTAAACAGAACACGGTGTAGAGCTGGATGAACACAGCAGGCCAAGCAGCATCATAGGAGCAGGAAGGCTGACGTTTTGGGCCTAGACCCTTCTTCAGAAATGGGGGAGGGGAAGGGGGTTCTGAAATACATAGGGAGAGAGGGGGAGGCGGACAGAGGATCGTTAGAGAAGATAGGTGGAGAGGAGACAGACAGGTCAAAGAGGTGGGGATTGAGCCAGTAAAAGGTGAGTGTAGGTGGGGAGGTAGGGAGGGGATAGGTCAGTCCAGGGAGGACGGACAGGTCAAGGGGGCGGGATGAGGTTAGTAGGTAGGAGATAGGGGTGGGAGGAGGGGATAGGTGGGAGGAAGGACAGGTTACGGAGGCGGAGACAAGCTGGGCTGGTTTTGGGATGCAGTAGGGGGAGGGAAGATTTTGAAGCTTGTGAAATCCATATTGATACCATTGGGCTGCAGGGTTCCCAAGTGGAATACAAGTTGCTGTTCCTGCAACCTTCGGGTGGCGTCATTGTGGCACTGCAGGAGGCCCAGGACGGACATGTCATCTGAGGAATGGGAGGGGGAGTTGAAATGGTTCACAACTGGGAGGTGCAGTTGTTTAGTGCGAACCAAGCGTAGGTGTTCTGCAAAACGGTCCCCAAGCCTCCGCTTGGTTTCCCCGATGTAGAGGAGGCCACAACGGGTACAGCGGATGCAGTATAGCACATTAGCAAGTGTGCAGGTGAACATCTGCTTGATGTGGAAAGTCTTCTTGGGGCCTGGGATTGGAGGGAGAGGGTGGGGGAGGGGGAGGGAGGTGTAGGGTCAGGTGTAGCACTTCCTGTGGTTGCAGGGAAATGTGCCAGGTGTGGTCGGGCTGCAGGGGAGTGTGGAGCAGACAAGGGAGTCACGGAGAGAGTGGTCCCTCCGGAAAGCAGATAAGGGTGGGGAGGGAAAAATGTCTTTGGTGGTGGGGTCGGATTGGGGAACAATCCCTCCATCCTCCCTGGACTGACCTATCTCCTCCCTACCTCCCCACCTACACTCACCTTTACTGGCTCCATCCCTGCCTCTTTGACCTGTCTGTCTCCTCTCCACCTATCTTCTCCTCTATCCGCCTCCCCCTCTCTCCCTATTTATTTCAGAACCCCCTTCCCCTCCCCTATTTCTGAAGGAGGGTCTAGGCCCGAAATGTCAATCTTCCTGTTCCTATGATATTGCTTGGCCTGCTGTGTTCATCCAGCTCTGCACCGTATTATCTCAGATTCTCCAGCATCTGCAGTTCCTACTACCCCTTTAAACAGAACAGTAGGTTTAGCTCTAAACAATCAAGGATGATGCCAATGGTTTTACAGCTTCTGGCTAGTGTCTTACAGGCATCAAACTGCATAACAATAAAGTCAATATGATTTGGTGGAGGAAAGGTTTGGTGTCACTGGCATGCATGTAAAAAAATAGCCGAATATTTCTGAATGTCAAAAAGGCAATACATAAATATGGAACAGAAAGCAGCTGAGGAGGGAACTCAAGAACACTTGTGGCCCCCACTAGAAAGGAACAAGTGGGAATCCCCAGCTGACTTTCCGTCCCCACAGTAAGTGGCCTCTGCACCCAGACATAAAAACCAACTACACAACTGTTCCATCTGAGACCAGATTAACAGACCAGGGAGCTTATCAAGGATTAATCTGATGTACCTGTCTCAATGAACCATATGGTGTATTTACCTATTGAGTTAAAGTGAGACAGAATATACTGTCAAATTCTCCTGTTGTAGTCCATACTTGAAAACAGAAGCTAAAATTGTCCCCTTTCAGCCACGCACTCAAAAATGCTGCAGTAGTGAAATTCAAGTTAGAAATAAAACAAACTGATTGCTTTCTACACACCTGAGTCGCAACATTTAACAAGGCTAACCTTCCATTCTTCGAAACTGTGAAAGACATTATAGGATGATCCTCTTGCACACTGTAATAGAATCAGAAATGAATCAAGTAGAGCAAAAAATCTACCTCAATACACTGGATTTATTTTAATAACTTGCACAGCACAATGTGTTGAAACAACTCTGATAAATAAGCTGGTGTTTCTAATCCCAAAAAGTTATGACAGTAGTGGGCAGGAAGGTCTCACAAAGAAATTCTTCTTTAATTAAAACATAGAAAAAGAAATCCAATGGATGCACATTTGAAATCTTTCCAAACATTTCTTTTGCAGCATCACCAGCATTGGAGATAACAGGAATTAAGAGAGGTTACTGAATTCAATTACATGACAAAATAGAATCATTGAATCTTTACAGTGCAGAAAGTGGCCATTCCAACCTCTGAATAGCATCCCATTCAGACCAACCATCCTCAACTCTATCCCCATAACCCCACATTCACCATGGATAATCCACTGACCCTGCATATCCCTGGGTGCTACAGGGCACAGTCAATCCACCCAATGTGCACATCTTTGGACTGTGGGAGGAAACCGGACCACCTGGCAGAAACCCATGCAGACACAGGTAGAATCTGCAAACTCCACACAGACAATCATCCAAGGCTGGAAATGAACCCGGGTCCCTGGCGCTGAAAGGCAGCAGTGCTAACCACCATGCCGCCCAATTCAACAGTTAATGCTGAAATTTAAGATTGTTAATCTAATATAATGTTAAACTGCAAGTTTCTTCATTGGTTACATATTCGATTTAGGTTGCTTCTGTATTCCACTTGGGAACTTCACCATACGAGGTAAGCAGTCTGCTATGTTTGAACAAAATATTAAAAATTGATAAAAATGCCAGTACTGAATTTAATATTTAAGGTTTAGAATATCTAATCAGCTTGAAACCTAATTAGAACTCAACCATTTCAAACTATAACAAGTGTAATTTGTAACACATAGCCTTCACATATTCTGACTATATTGCTTCCCAAAAATCCCTCTTCAAACTCCAAGCAATCATCTCAAGTTTGTGACCTCATCAACAACTTCCACAACCAAAAGGAAAACTTCACCAGTCACTTGAGAAACTTGACACTTTTCCTCACCTTCTTGGTCCTGGTCTATATGATAGATATTTTAATACCATCTAGAAAGTTGCACATATTCTAAACAACCCTTTGAATAAATTAATCAGATTTCTCTTCTAGAAGCAGACAGGTGGTGTCAATAGGTATTTGAGGATGACGAGATGCAACAGGTAGCATAGAGATCACTGCTTCAGACCTCAACTGTTTCCAATTTACATAACAGACTTAGGTGAGGGGAAAGTATAGCTAAGGGGTAGTGCCCCTACCCCTGGACTGAGAGGCCTGCATTCAAGTCCTACCTGCTCCAGTGGTGTGTAATAACATCTCTGAACAGGTTGATTAGAAAAATAATCCAAGGGGACAGAAGGTAATGTTGCCAAATCTGATCATACAAAGATAGGGATGAAAGTAAGCTGTGCAGAGGATTCAAGCAGTAACAAAAAGAAATTGATAAGTTGAGCAAGTGGGTAAAGATATGGCAAATTGAGTACATAATATGGGAAGATGTGAAACTGTTCATTTTCACAGCAAGAATAAAATGAAGTATCTTATCAAAATGGTGAGAGATTGTTGTGCTCTGGAATGCAGAAGGATCTGTGTGCCCTCCTGCAGAAATCGCAAAAGGTTAGTATAAGGGTAATTAGAAAGCCAAGTAATTAGAAAAAGTTTATTGAATGCTACCATTAATACAAGGAGAATTGAATACATAAAGATATTATGATTTGGTTATACAGGGTGCTTGGAGTATTGTGTACATTACTGGTCACCATAAGTATGTAAATGCACAGGCACAGTTCAGAGAAGATTTATAAGACTAATAACTGGAATGGAGAGTTGTCTAATGAAGAAAGATTGGACAGAATAGGTTTGTACATGCTGGAGTTTAGAACATTAAGAGACGACTTGATTAAAATCCTGAGGGGTCTCAGGCAGATGGATGTGGAGAGGAGATTTCATCTTACGGAAGAATCTAGAACTTAGACCGCTACTTTTCAAAAAAAAAAATCAGGGGCTTCCCATTTAAAACGGAGTTTATATGAAACTATTTGCCTCCGAGGGTTGTGTGCCTTTCAAACTCATCCTGAAATGTGATGGAATCAGAGTTTAAATATTTTGAGAGGCAGAGGGCTGAAAGGTTAACCAGGGTAAACAGAAAAGTAAATCTGAGATAACTATCAGATCACATGATTGTGTTGAATGGCACAGCAGATTCAAAAGGGCTGAACAGCCTACTCCTGCCTCTGATTTTCACGTTCATATTTCTAAATATCCAAAATGTTATTGATGGTCTCACTCACGAAGCTAATTTAAATCTACTCCACATCAAGTTCCACAATTCAATGAGATCAAGGCTCATCTGTGGGCCTATATCCTTTGATATCTTTGCTTAAAAAATTCTGATTTAAAGCTAACAACTGATGCAGCATCCACTGCCGTTTGTGAAAAAGATGTCCAAACTTCTACCACCCTGTGCATAGAAGTGCTTCCTAATACTATTTAGTGTCTTGTCAACCAATCTTCAAACTGCTAATCATTCTGCCACATTTCTTATATCAACAATAGAATGGTGCATTACTCCCTACTCTTACTTATATTCTTTATGAGATGAAGTTCATGAACGGTTTACTGGCGTACAGTCCCAGATCGGCAAGGGTGGAAGACCTCAAAAAGGACATAAGTAAACATTTACTGGGCAAGGAAAAAACAAAAATAGCTCTGATAGTCAAGATATTAATCTCAGCACATCAATCTAAGCAGCAGCAGCTTCAGAGTAAAAGTCAGTGCACAACAAGTGCACTAGGAATAGTAAAGCACTTTCAGAATTAATTGTATCCTCTCCCATCAAATCAAATAGTCAAAATGGAACTTTAATCTCAGTACAAACAAATAATTACAAAGTGGCTTACATATTCCTATCAGTCAGGTCCTCGAAGTTGTACCCTCTTATCCGCTGATGCGTGTCCGAGGCAAGGACTGTTTTCCCATCGTTTAGACACCAAAGGCACTGCACTCTCACGCCTTCCCATGAATCCAGCAAGTTTCCTTCCAAGTCCTAGCCCAGACACAAAGAACTGTTACACAAGTGAAACAATGAAGATCAGTAAAAATTGCCCAATTTTCCATACACAATTCTCTTCCCCTGCCTCTCACATTTTCCCTTCCTGTTCTGAAGGTTGGATGCTAGATTTAATTCCACATGCAATCCAAGTTTTCTGGTATTGCATCTAATTGAGATAAAGTATAGGAATGTAGCCTACTGGTAGTATTTTCCTTGGGAAGACTGTCACCACCTTCTTCATCTTTCTCTTACTCAACATTCACTATTGAGCCCTTTCACTTAAGGGTTATTGGTCAGGCGCTATGAAATTTCTCTGCCGTATCCAGTCACCAACTTCCAACATGTTTTAATTCTTTTATAGGGTGCGGACGCCCACGGCAAGGCCAGGCAGTTGTTGCCTATTCCCGAATACATTTGAACTGAGCAACTTGCTGTGTCATTTCAGATAGCAATTAGGGGTCTGGGGTCAAATGCAAGTCACACCAAGTAAGGATGACAAACTTCCTCCCCAAGGAATATCAGTGATAGGTTTTTATTACAAACAGATGACAGTTACCATGAATACCATTACTAAGTCTAGCTTTGTATTCCAAATAACTAAGGTAGATATAATCTTAACCAATTTATTACTTGAATTATTCAGTACCCAGCTTTAAGGCTTGGAATCGGCACCACTGATGCCTGTTGCTTAAATTCAACTCTGTACTGGAATCAGATTACATCCATGAAGTGAACCTATCCTTTTTCCAGACATTCTAATAATCGCTGTGCATATTGGAATTTTCAAATGTAATAATTTAGAATGGCTAAAACTTTACCTAGATTAAACAAAAGTCAAGAACAAATTACCATTTGAAGCCAGAGAAAATGCTGGAAATACTCAGTAGCAACCTGGAGAGTGAAAGAGTTAATGTCTCACATTGATAATGTTTCAGTTCTTACGAAAGGTCATTGGCTTGAAACAACATTCTATACATCTCTCCACAGTTGCTGACTGGCCCAAATATTTTGTTTTTATTTCAGACTTCGAAATCTGCAGTATTTTGCTTTTGTTCATATCTTGATATTTTTGCAAGAGCCAAGAGTTGAAAAATCAACTCCAGCAAAGATTTGACAAAATAAATGTTGATTTATTTTAATGTGCGATACAACACAAAAAAGGACAAAAACAATATTTACTTAAAACGGTGTTTGTTAAGTAGAATTGGAAGCCCTCACCCACCCCCCAAACTGCAATCTATTTAGTATAAGAACACAAACACTGCCATTAGGGAGGGAGTTCCAGGACTTTGATTTAACAATAATAAAGAAATAGGAATACAATTGTTGGGACAAAATTATGGATCATAAGAATTGGAATATAGACATGTATGGATTTTGATGGGTTGCAAAAGATTCATTGGATTGCTTGGAATTGGAAAGTTAAAGATTAGACTATGGTTTATCAATTATTTTCAAGGAGATAAGGATGAAATTTTATTACTTTAAATGGGTGAGCAAACAGATCGAGAAAACCATTATTGGTTTTATGCTGCCATTGCCTAGCAACAGTCTCTGGACTGAGGTAATCTGTTTTTTTCCCAGTATACACCTAGAAGTTGTAGGCAGTAAATTGCATGGATGCAGAATAGTTTGTGTGTCAGGTAGAGTCAGAGCTTGGAGTTAAAAACAGCATGGTCTCTCTCTCTCCCCCTCTTAAGCAATTTGAAAAAATCTGAAAAATTCAAATATCAAGACTCCCGTTTCCCAAGTGGACCTAAAATTTAGTTTGAAGGTTTTCCATTATTTTGCTTATATCTTGATATTATTTTGCAACTATCAGCAATCAGAGGGCATGGAAAGGAATTCAAAGACAGAGGTCAACCCACTTTTTGCCATTAGAATTCACCACTTGACCTACAGGGTTCCTTCCTCCTCCTTTTCATCTAATATTTTCCCCCATCCATAGCTCTCCAGAGTCAACTCTCTCTTCTTCCTATCTGTGTTTGAGTGTGATTCATAGTAAATGGCGCAGTAGCTTGCAAGATAATGAGCTTGCCATGTATTTGAAAATAAGTTTGCCTGTAATAAACACATTAGTTTTGAGTTTGTTGAAAAACCTGGTAAAAGTTTATTACTGACGACATGAACTAAATAAAGAGAAACAAACAAACCAATTCTGGTAATTAAATGAGACTTTTGGTATGGCTTGTGGCAAAATGGGGTTTTATTTTCTTCTAACCCCAAAGTCATAACATCTCCAAAGACAGAATCTAAGTCAAAATTGAGAAATGTGGAGAATTTGGTGGTGATGGCATTTCTGTCTGCCTACTGTCCACGTCCTTATAGGTGGTTTAGATCATGAGTTTGCAAGAAACTGTGGGAAGTTGCTGAATTGCATTTTGTAAATGGTACACAGCTGCCACCATACAAATGTTGAATGTGATAGGCTGCCAATCAAGTGGGTGGCTCATCTTGGATGGTGTCAAGTTTCCCAAGTGTTGTTAGAGCTGCACTTAATGAGGCAAATAATGAATATTTCATCACACTTCTGACTTGTACCTCATACGTGGTGGACAGGATTAAAGAGTCAGAATGTGAATTGTGTGTCATAAAATTCAGTCTCTGAACTGCTGTTGTAGTCTATTTAAATAGCTGCTTCAATTCAGTTTCTGGCTAATGATTAACCTCCAGCATGTTGGTAGAGGGGGACTTGGCAATGGTAATACTGAGGGGTGTGAGTTAAACTTTCGCTTGCTGGAGACCATCATTACCCAATATTTGTGTGGCACCAAGTTACTTAGGTCAAACTTGAACATATTCCTAATATTGCTACATTTGGGCATGGACCGCTTCATTACCTGAAGAGTCATGGATGAGACTGAACATTTATATTCAGCAAAAGTTCCCAATTCTGGTCATATAATGGAGTGAATATTATTGATGAGGTAGTCAAAGATAGTTAGGCTTAGGGCACTGCTCAGGTATTCCTGGAACAGACTAGTTAGGGACACAGTTAGCCGATGCTCAGAAGTCATTAGTTCTGCTGCTAGGATTTGTTTTTGTGGCCCCAAAGCAATTGCTATGTAAAAATCATAAGAAACCAGGCCACTGAGTATTCCACCATGTAATAAGATCAGGCAGATCGGATTGTGGTCTTAATGGAAAATTCATTTTCTTGACAATTCCCAATCACTCGTAATTGGCCAGTCAATCAAAAAACAGTCCAGCGTGGTCTTGAATAAATTTAGTGCACCAGCCTCCACTGCTCTTTGTCTATTGACCCAGACAGGAGCGATTCCTCATCTCCATCTTGAATAGGAGAATCTTCATTTTTAATCTCCGTACCTTAGTGCTAGATCCCCTTGCAACGGGACCATTCATTCTTCATCTACCTTTGTGAGCCCTTCAGAATCTATGTTTCAATAAGATTTACAACCTGCATTAATTACTTGGAAGAAAACCCTGATTGAATTACAGCCAAATTTGCTGTTTGTTCGAAAGTGAATAGGAAAACACATCACTAGAAGGATGCAAAGAGCCTGCAATGGGATAAAATGAAAGGCCGAAAAATTGACAGCTGGAGTAAAATGTGGGAAAATGTGAAGTAGTTCACTTTGGTAGGAAGAATAGAAAAGCAGAATATTATTCAAAGAGAAAGAAAAACTGACAAATCTGGGTGTACATCGATCAATAAAAGTTAGCATGCTGGTGCAGAAAGTTAATAGGAAGGTAAATGAAAATTTCAACTTCGTTGCAAGAGAGGTGTATCATAAAGGTAGTCAGGTTTTGCCGGAACTGTACAGGGCATTGCTAAGACCACACTTAAGACCATTACAAAAATGATCTCTACTTGCATTGAACAGAGTTCAGAAGGTTCACTGGGTTGAGAGTTTTTAAATGAGCAAGATTGAGCAGGTTAGACCTATATGCATGAGTTTCCATGGGGTGACCTTATTAAAATTAAGAATCTAAAAGGGCTTGATGGAATGGATGCTGACAGAATATTTTCCCTTGAGGGAATCTAGAAATAGATCTTAAATGGGAGACTGTGTTGTGGAGGAATTTCTTTGGAGGTTCAAGGGTGATTAAATATATTCAAGGTTAACTTAGTTGGTTATTCGACTGATATTGAAGCCAGGGATTACTGGGTAAGGGATAGACAAAGTAGAATTAAAGCCATGGATCAGATCAAGGTGGAGGGCCAAATGGCCTATTTACATTCTTAGGCCAGAATAATGTTGATTCCATACTTCATGCATTAAGAAATCCAGGGCCACTCCCTCAGAACTGTACATCACAATACCTGCACTTGGGGTTGGACTGGTGATGGTGATGGAGTCTGAGTCATTGCCTAAAAGTTATTAGAGAGTATTACATCAGGCTGCTCCTTAACTAGACAATGGGGCTACTCTCTCATTTGTGGTGCAAGTCCCTAGATGTTTCTGAGGAGACTGTATTGGGTACACTGTGCACCTTTATTTCTGGGTGTGACAGAGTAACAGTCAATGGATATTTTACAGGATGAAGGAAGGCTTGTAATGGATTCCCCCAAGGATCAGTATTGGGATAAAGGGTTACAGGGAGAAGGCAGCAGAATGAGGTTGAGAAACATTCCAGCCACCATTGAATAGTGAAGCAGACTCGATGGCTGAATAACCTAATTCTGCTCTTGTATCTTCTGGTCTTATGCTTCTCCTGATACATTTTAATGATCTGGATCTTAAGGTGCATGGGAGACAATTTCAAAGTTTGCAGATGATGCTAAACTTGAAGAACTGCAAACTGAGGAGAACAGTGTGGAACTACACAAGGATACCAGCAACTTGGAGGAGTGTGAGTGGATAGGTTGCAGATGAGTTTCAATGCAGAAAAGATGATACAATTTTTAACAAAGTTAAGACAATTAGATAGGGTGTATAATTCTAAAGGGGGTACAGCAACAGGAGGATCTGGATGAGATTATTGAAGATGACAGTTCAGGTAGAACAGTTAATTAAGCATACAGTGTTCTGGGCTTTATTAATAGAGGTGTAGTGTAAAAGAGCAGAGAGGTGATGTTGAACATGTTCAAGACAGTTGTTAGATCTCAGCCGAAGTATTGAATTCAGGCCACCTGGTTCAGAGGTAGGGGTGCTACAACTGCACCACAAGGGCCCTGTAGAGGGTCTCTATCCATCTCCCTTTGATATTCAACAGGAAAATCATCCACTATCATTCTAGGATTACCATCAGCTAAACATTTCATTGGATCCGCCACAAAAAAAAGTAACTAAGTCAACTCCTGCCTCTCTAAAACTTTCCTTCATCTACAGTGTGCACCAACAGTGCAATGACCCCACCTGCCTGGATGAATGCAGCTTCAAAAACAATACAATCCAGATAAAAACATCCAGTTTGAATGGCATTGCTCCCACGAAAATGTGCATCATTCTCAAGATTTAGTGCGGCAACTTAAGGTGCCTATAACTTCACCCTACAAAACAGAGATCTCTACCATTTGAAAGAACAGGAGTAGATCGAAGTGAACATCATTCCCCTCCAAGTCATACAGCCTCCTAACTTGGAATTACATCGCTGTCCCTCGATTGTCACTGGGTCAAAATCCTGAAATCTTTCCTCAACAACACTGGATATGTCAAACCATATACTGCACAGCTCAAGGACCTTCTTCTCAAAGGCAATTAGGAAATGCAATAAATGATGGCTGATCCAGGCGTGTTCACATCCCATGAATAAACAAAAAATTAATTTAAATTTCTGCTCTGGGCTACTAATCCTGTACCATAAATGTGCTCAGATAGCAAGAACTGCAGATATTGGAGTCAGAGATAACACAGTGTGGAGCTGGAGGAACACAGAAGGCCAGGCAGCATCAGAGGGCCGTTTCTGGAGAAGGGTCCCTACCCGAAACGTCAACTTTCCTGCTCCGTTCCTCCAGCTTCACACTGTGTTAACCCATAACTATGCTATTGTTCTTGTGACACTTTGTTTGCAAAGGTAGGAATAAACCTACAAGGGACATGAACAGAAACAGTTTATCTGGGGATGTGCAGTGAAGAACATTGCGAATAGAACAGATTGCAACAAAACATGCCATACAGTTTGATCCAATTAAGGTCAGTGAACTTTGTAACTTTTGGTAACTGCATCAATTAAAGTATTCCCTAAACAAAAGGTTCCTAACATTAGCTAGGCAGTGTTCTTACAGAGTGTTGTCCATGCCTGTTATAGACAAGCATCATGGTTTGCAGATATAGGTCAACAGACCCGTCCAGCTAATAAACTGAAGACAAAATAGTCATATTTTGGTATTTGATAATACAGTAACAGTAGGCTTCTGCTCAGTTGACTGAAGCAAGAGCATGTTGGAGCTAGAAATTTTCAAATATAGGACATTTCACAGGATCAACACCCAAAATATATTAAAAGATTTTCATGAGTAAACGCCAAATCCACTGAAATCACAATGCACAGAAAAGCGGATTCATACTCAGTCATGAGTGTGCATCCAGTGCTATGTTCTGCTTCTTAACCACAAATGTCACACGCTATGCAACTAGATGCATGTGCTCTAGTCATCGGGAGCTCCTAAAAGGATCAAACTCAGTACTGTAATTGGTAATGAGTTGATTATATAGGGATGTTTCTAATAGGGATGAGGTGAATTTGTTTCGACCAGAGTGTGGTGGAAGTTTGGAAATCACTGCCTGAAAGGATGGTTAGTCAGATCATTAATGGCTGGTGTGGATGTGATGGGCCAACTGGCTTCCTTATATGCTATAAATGTCCATGAAGATCGTGAGGACAGTGAGGAAATTGGCATTCAGATAGATAGTGGTCAGTTATGATCTAGAATGGCAGAGCATGCTGCCAGACAGATGGCCCAAAATGGTCTATTCCTGCTCCTACTTCCTATCTTTCTAAGGTGCAACATGTAGGGAATGAAGCACATCTTTAGAGAATTCTAAAGGGAAAGATGCAAGGATTACAAGATGAGCTGTTGCTGGAGATATTTTATTTTCATAGTCAAGTGTCTCGTAGACAGCCCATTTAAATGGATAATGGCAAAGCATAGCAGAAAGGTGGTGTGATAAATTGCGTCAAAGGTTATAAAGTGTCAAGTAGTGTACATTTTTCATAGTTACAGCCTCAGATAAAGTTACTTGAGATCATGATTAGTGCGAGTTTAGTGTTTATTTAGCAGGGGTTTGGTTCATGCTTAGTCGAAAGAAGGGCTTGACACGGTGAGCAAGGGTAAGGAGCAACAGAAACATTTACAAAGATTGAGATGACCCAAAGACATTCTCTAGGCCCTTGAACCAGCGATAGTGGAGATAGAGGCTTAAGCAAACTTTGTCAGAGAAAAAAAAGCCAAGAATATCATTTCCCTACAGGGAAGCCCAGGAGTGGAGGATACAAACAAATTTTACATAATACTCCAAAGTATGGAGATGGTGCAAATATTTTAGTTGCTAAATTAACATGTTTTGTAGGTGTATTTGCCAGTTAGTCTAATTACAGTCTTTTTAAAAATGCAAATTTTGATTATTAAGATAAACAGATATACAAGGTAAAGACCAGAAGGAAGGGTCAGTTCTGAGGAAGGGTCACCGGACCCGAAACGTTAACTCTGTTTTCTCCTCCACAGATGCTACCAGACCTGCTGAGCTTTTCCAGAAACTTTGTTTTTGTTCAAAGACCAGAAGGAAATAGAGCAACTTACACACTGATAAAATTGCCCACGTTGTCCGCCCGTCACAAAGCGTTTTCCATCTGGGTTCCAAGCCACACTTGTTAGACTGTCCTCATGAGACTGACTCATCTTGGTTCTTAGCTCTCCTGTCTGGAGAGGGGAAAAGTTTAACCCACCGAGTGCAATGTATTCTGGCATCAAAAGTAACAATAATGCACAGTCAAGGTTTCTTCAATTTGGATGTCAGCTTTAAGTGTTACAAATTTGAAGGAGCAGATCTATTTACAGGTGATCAACTTGTCTTGTCATATAAACTTACTGTTGCAATAAATAAGCTTTAAAAAGAAAAATGTGCAATTTTACTGTTCTATGTTCTAGGACTATCACTTTGGCCTTCTCCTCCTACCAGCACAAGTGCTATCCCTCAGGTTAACAGATGTCATCAGGAACTTGAAGTTACTTAGGTCTTTGACTTGCAAAGACACTCCAAAGATCTTGGATATCAGCAATTTTGAACACAACAGTCTAGCCAAAGTAGAGCCAATGAAATACTCGGTATGAATGAGAGCCATTAGCAGTACTCTAAATAATGAAGAAAACCTGGAGATTTAGGAGACTTACTATTGCTTTTGATTCCTGCAAATGATCTCTTTGAATAAAGACTGAACTCTGTGCACCAGTCACTTAGGAATATTATCTATGCTAATATTCATGGCTATTGCATTCTCATTCATGTTGTTTACCTGTACATTCCAAAGCCATAATTCAGAGCAGTCATCAGGGCCACAGGCTAGAAGGTAAGTATCATCTGGACTCCAAGCTAAGTATGATACTCCATAAGCATGACCTTCTAAAGTTTTAAGCAATCTAAGTTGGTGAGTATCCTAATAGAGGAAAAAAAAAAATCCGTTAGTAATTCATGCTACAATGCCACCTTTGGACAACTGGCATTGTGCTACATCACACACAGTTGTGGAATTTGGACCCTGGTGCTTTGTTCTTCTAGCCTCCACTTCAGTTTCTTCTCTGTAAAACAGCCCCATATTCTGCTTCAGTGTAATTTTTATGGCATGTTTCACCACTAAATTTGCTATGGCTCAGATGACTGCAGATTAAATTCCCACTCCAGAGACTTGAGGACAAAAACGTAGGCTTAAAGTCCAGTGCAACGTTGAGGGAACACTCAATGTTGGGTGCACCATCTTTCAGATGGGATGTTAAGAACGTAAGAAATAAGAATGGAAGTAGATCAACTCCTATAGCCTGCACTTCCATTCTACAAGATGATGGCTGATCTGCACCAGGCCTCAAATTCACTTCTGTGCCAGTTCAAAGACCCCAAGTTCTCGATATTTCAAATAAATCTATTTACCTCCTCTTGAAATACTTCCAGTGATCTGGCTTTCACAACAATCTGGGGTAAAGAATTCCAGACTTTCACTACCCTCAGGAGAAAGTCCTTCACATCTGAATTTTAAATGGAAGCACTCTTATTCTGTAACTACCCAGTGAGACTCTTTTAACCTGCCTCCAATGCCAGTACATCCTCTCAAATGAGGACCAAAATTGTGCACACAACTCCAGGTGCAAAGTCATCCGACACAGCTATAACAGAACTTTCCTATTTTTAAAGTCGAACCTCCTTGCAATAAAGGGCTAAATTCTGTTTGCTGCCTTAATTACTTGTTGCATCTGCATGCTAACTTTGTGTTTAATGCAAAGGACACTCAAACCACTAAGCTGCGCTTTTGTGGAGTGCCTCTATTAAATTAGTAGCTGCTTTTTGACTCTTCCTATCAAAGTAAATGATCTCTCACTTTCCCACATTAAACTCCACCTGCCAATTTTTTTGCCCTCTCACTCAACCTATATCACCTTGTCAATTTCTTGCGCCCTCCTCTCCAATCCATTTTTGTATCATAAAATTTGAATACACTATCTTAATGATTTGGAGGAAGGAATTGAGTGTAAACAATTGGATGTTCTAAAGATAGTAGGAACTGCAGATGCTGGAGAATCTGAGATAACAAGGTGTAGAGCTGGATGAAAACAGCAGGCCAAGCAGCAGAGGAGCAGGAAGGCTGACGTTTCAGGCCTAGACCCTTCTTGTCTCTGCCTGAAACATCAGCCTTCCTGCTCCTCTGATGCTGCTTGGCCTGCTGTGTTCATCCAGCTCTACACCTTGTTATCTCAATTGATGTCCTAGGACTGATCCTGTGGCACTCGATCAGTCATGTCTTTCCAACCTGAAAAAACCCATTCATCACAACTCTGGATTCTTGTGTGTTAACCAACCTTCAAACCACATTAATACATTACTTGCAATTCTGTGAATTCTTATCTTGTGCAATAATCTTTTATATGGTATCTTATCAAATACCTTCTGGAAATCCAAATACATTATACCTACCGGTTCCCCTTTATGAACTCTGCCTGTTAACGAGGTTCTGTCTATACACAGATGAATATGAAGACCACATGTTGCTATTCAAAAAGACTCGAAACATTAGCTTACCCTCTCTCCACGAGTAGTGCCTGATCTGCTCTGATCTCCAGCATTTGTTTTCACCAAACTACACTTTACCTGCACCTGGTCCATACCCTATACCCTGGCATTTTAAGTATTCATTCAAATGCTTAAATGTTGCAACAATACCTGCCTCCACCACCTGTTCAGGCAGTGCATGACATTACAAATATCTGATTTTTGACATACTATTTTGCAAGCTTGCTGTGGCCCATAGTTGGTTATTTTCTTAGATTAGGGCTCCTGCACTATTGTTTTGAGGACATTTTGATGGAGAAATGTGAGCAAAACACTGCAGTGAACCCAGTACTGAAGATCTTATAAATCCAGCACTAGTGATTCTATGTTTAAATCCAATTATACCTTTATTATTTCTGTAGCATCTCAATGAGGTATATTAATGCTGTGGAACTGAAACACTTTGAAATTTGAGCACCAAGCATTAGCACTGTTTTCCCACACCTTTTTGGTTTCTCAAGAATGAGAGCAACAACATTAAAAAACCCATTATTTGGAGTTTATTACTTTGCAAATTTCCTACACAACCATTCTGTTTTCCAAGAAAGAAAAACAGTAAATTTCCTCTGGATGATATTTAGTTGAGAACTAAACTGACAACTGTCTACGAATGAATTGATTTCCATTATAAACCACAGGTTCAGGTATAAGTAATAAGTACTGTGCTCGCGCAAAGTACTACAATGCTGCCCACATTATTGAGAGAAAAGGGTGAGAAGAGAAATGTGGAAGTGCTGCACTGCATACAACATTAATGAATAGTCTGATGTAAGGTATGATAGATTTTTAAGTACTGTACAGTAAGTCGTTGTATTTCCAAACATCATGACCAAGTGTATCGTACTTTCCCATTATAATCAATGTAAAAGCTGCAGTTAGGTTCGGTCAGATCTTAGTGATCAGCAGAAATAAAATACCACCACTAAGTTGAATATTTAACATTGCTAAACTAAATTACTTCAAAATTAAATAAATTTAAAACAAAATTTGAAAAATGCAAGCTATTTGGTTGCTGCAGATCATCTCACTGTATCCAACCCCCCTTTGCAGCCTCTTTCCATTCCCAAGTCTTTTGACAAGCTAACTGCTCCCTGACTCATCCTCTCACTGCTTCCCTCTCCTGTACCTGCATTCTTTTTCAAGATTGAGAACCAAACCCAAGCATCAAGATTGTAGAAGTGTAAGCTACAATGGTGCAGAAGTATCATGCTGGCATTGTCATGATTGTGCTTACTTAAAAATTTGAAGTTGCTCCTCCTGTCACTTTGACTCATCTCCACAGAGTTCATTCAGTGAGCATGAAGGAGAGGGAAGCAGCAGTGGGACTACTGGGAAAAAGTGCATGGATTATAACAGCCCAGCTTGGCACTTCTGCACCATTCAAATACAGCACACTTGCCTTCATTGGCTGGGGCATCAAATGTAAAAATTGGCAAGTTATGTTACAGCTGTACAAAACTTTAATTAGGCCACATTTGGATTAGTGTGCACAGTTCTGGTCACTGCATTACCAGAAGGATGTGGATGCTTTGGAGAGGGTGAAGAGAAGGCTTACCAGCAGGTTTCCTAGTCTGGAGGGTTTTAATTATGATGAGAAGTTGGATAAACTTGGATTTTTTTCCACTGGAAATGCAGAGGCTGAGGGGTGATCTGATAGAGGTCTGCAAAATTATGACAGGTACAGAGAGGATGGATAGTCAGAGGCTTGTTCCCAGAGGGGAAAGGTCATCTATAAACAGTGCACAGATTGAGGGCGAGAGGGGCAAGTTTAACACAGAAAGGCAGGGAGAATTTTTCAGGGTGGTGGGTGCCTGGAAAGCATGGTCAGCGGAGGTGGTGGAAGCATTAGCAATGTTTAAGGCACATCTTGATAGACACATGAATGGTAGGCGAACAAAGGGATGGAAGCCGCATATGGGCGATAAGTAGCTGATGTAAACAAGACTCAGGAATTGGTTCAGGCTTGGTGGGCAGAAAGGCCTGTTCTTGTGCTGTATTGTACCGCATATTGTATTGCATAAATTTGCACCCCCATAATCCTGATGCTTGGTCTTTAGATTGGAACTGGCTCTTCAGCAAAATCATAGATTCAGGAGAGGGAAGTAGTAGAGGAAAAGTCAGGGAGTGGAAGGTTGGCAAGACAGAGGGGCAGACACTCCGAAATGTAATAAGACAAAGGATTTAGGCACAAGGTTGCAAGTCAGACCAAAGAGTGGGATAGGCCACTCCAAAACGAGGCCAATGCAGCTACATAATTCACATCTCAAGGAACCACAGCAAAATGAACTTTGCAATGTGCAACAAGACCACAGGCACTATTAACTTAGATTCATACGGCACAGAAAAAGCCTTTTGGCCCATCAAGTCTGCACCAACATAACTACCACTAGAAGAGTGCTAACCCCACTATCCATTGTCCATATTCTTGAATATTACAATATTTGAAGTACTCATCCAAATCTTTTTGCCCAACATTAAAATGCAACAATGTTAAACAAGGTAATGTTAAATGGGGACTTGTAGTACTGTAGTTGAAACAATGCAATTCCTTGGAAAAATTAGACACGTTGAGTTAATGTAAACAATTTACCACAAATTGAAAATACAGCGATCTAAATAAAGGCCAAGTAAAGCCCAGGATTCCCATGGTACTTACTAAATCAACCTGCCAAATAATAACTGTGGTGTCCTTGGATCCTGTTGCTAATTTAGTGCCATCATTAGCGAACTTGCAGAACCATACCTCATTGCAATGTTCTGTGAGAATCTGCTGTGTATAGCAAGGGAACTGCTTCCTTAAAAAAAAAGGAAAAGTGAAAATTAAAACACTTGTCTTTTTTGTCTATTAAAAGCTATTCAGTGTATCTTTTAACTATGACACTGACATATCCAGTACTACAACAAAAAAGAAATTCTGGAAATACTCAGCTGATTAAAGTTCTAACAAAAGCTCAGAAAAATTCTCGTGTTTCTGGCCTGATCAGTATTTCCAGCATTTTAAAATTTTTATTTCAGATTTGCAACATCTGCAGTATTCCGCTTTTGTTAAGAAACATTAGACTGCCTACAGTTGGTACAGATTTTTAAGATTCTTTAACATCTACATTGTCATGATCAACATTCCTTCTAAGCTGTGTAGCCGCGTGCATGCATAGCGCTCCGATATTCCACACAACGGTGATCAGTGTCAGCATGCTCATCGTAGCATTGGCCTTTGGTTCTGTAAGTAACTGCCACGCCTAAGCTAGAAAGGCCTGCACAGCCAGTGTGAAAATTAGATGGAATGCTGGTTAGGGTTTCAGTTATGATATTCTGGATGAGTCAGATTCCAAAAATAACCTGGCTTGATTTTTCTTTTCAAACTAATGTAGTTAGTGACTGAGGCATTCATAAAGCTGCAGATGTCCTGTTAATATAGATCAGAAATTAATTTCACAAAAAAATGAATACAAAACAAAAACCAAGCTACATAGGCAACATAGTTAGAAAGACAAATGGTTTCCTGGCACAATCCATTGCAGAGACAAATCTAGAGAAATTGCTGCTTTACAACAAAATCCTCGAGTTTACTTAATTGATTCACCCCAATTTCTGTGTTGTGAACTATGGAGTCTTTTTACATCACAAAACAGACTTGTAACTTTCAGAGATAGTAGAAACTGCAGATGCTGGAGAATCTGAGATAACAAGGTGTAGAGCTGGATGAACCCAGCCGGCCAAGCAGCATCAGAGGAGCAGGAAAGCTGACGTTTCGGG